TTGCCACTAGGGTGGCTGGGGCTCCAGAGACGGGGACTTCAACCCCACATCTTCTGTCAGGGTCCAGGGCTTCGCCTTCCTGCCCCAGTGTGGCTCCTCCGCCCCCCAGTGCAGTTCCTGCTCGGGTCCGGGCTTCTCCCCTCCCCAGTGCAGCTCCTGCCGGGGTCCCGGCTTCTCCTCCACCCCCACTCCCTCCCCCCACGTGGCTCCAGCCCCGTCTGGGGCTTCTCTTCCCCCACCCCTGCATGGCTCCTGCCGGTATCTGGAGCTTCTCCCACTGCACCCAGCCCTAGCCTAACTGGGCTCCCTTGGGTCACCTGCTGTGGCCGGAGTGGAGCCTGGCTGGCAGGGAGCAGCCATGCATGGGGACGCCATGGCCACCAGCCCAAGAGGTGCGGGGCAGCCGTAGGCAAGCAGGGGCTGGCTGTGCTGCTGCTGATAGCCCCGCACTCCCGCCCACACCTCACCCTAAGGCTTTTTGTGTGTGTGTGAGACTCACTCGGTCCCTGCTGGAGCAGGGAGGCAGGAAGCAGTTGATTTGAGCCTGCCCGGCAAACAGCTGAGGAGGGGAGGAGGGAGGAGCAGCCTTCCCAGCCGGAGCTCAGGGCATTAGGGTGTGTGTGCCGGGGCACACACGGCACACCCCGTGCACACGCCTATGCTTTGAGGATTGTGAAAGGCCCTCTATAACAAAACAAAACCAAAAGATAACTCTAAGTTAGACTGCTCTCTTCCTCTTTTTTTTTTCTTTAAAAATACTTAGCTTTCAGTATTTAGGAAAGTTCAAAAGTGTAGGCTTACAGTCAGTCGGGTTTAGGCTTAGCTATGGGTACGCTGCTGTACTTCTCTGTTGCAGAACCTTTCTTTGCTGCTAGTGTCAATAAACTGCTACTTCTGTTTGGAAAGAGTGAAGTGTCTGTGGATTTCAAAATAATTTCCCAGAATGTTATGGTATTGGTATGGGTTTACTACTGAAAAGGCTATCTGCAGCAATTAAGTGTTTTACAGATGGATATATAGTACTGCATATGCCAAAGCTAAGAAATATCTCTATAGTTTTAGCCTGAGTTTCCGAAGACAGTATAAATGCCACTCCAGGTCTTTAAAGATTGCAGTAAAAGGTTTATGATCTATATCTTATAGCATGTGTGACTCATAATAAATGTACTCCAAAGGTGTAGTGCCATGTCCAGCAGTGATTGCTCCAATAAATGGGTCTTCCTCTGCAATACAGTAATTTGTAACCACATAACAGCTTTACTTTCTGGCTGGAAAGGCCCAGTTTTGTCAAAATGTTTTATGCCACTACATCTTTCCCAACATTTCCAGAAAGCATGACAGTGGTGGGTTTCATATTTATTCCCACATTTTTATATGGCATCATAGGTTTTCTCCTTTTTATTCTGAGCCTTCTTGACATTGTTGAGACTTAAAATAAATGAATACATAAATAAATAATAAAAACAGTAGCTTATACTGGGTACAAATGGGAAAATTTCACAAACATTGCAATGCCTCCAATTACAGAATTCTTATCACACTGGTTTAGAGAGCATCCCCTGCTTATTGTAGCCAATTTTTTTTTTTTTTACTTGTTTTCAGTGGTCACAGCTATTATTTTTGGAACCCTCTCTCTCGCTTAGTCTTTCAATATAAGAACACTTAGGTTATCTGCAGAGCCATTTTTCTGGGTGTCGTATAACTGTAGCTACAGATTCCAGTGAAGAACTGTGCTGTTTCAAGTGTGTGAGATTTATCAAGGGTCTACAATAGTTTTTGGTGGTTTCTTTTAGAAGAGTCCAGGGGTGCTAGGCCTGGCATAATATTACTGCCCATCTCTGCTGATGGCAGCTTTGGGTGGAAATGGCCTAAATAGGAGAGGAAAGGTAGTCTTGTGGTCAAAGCACAGGCTGGAGTGAAGAAATCTTGGTTCTTTTCCCAGTTCTGCCACACACTTCCTGTGTGACACTGAAGTACTATAGTTTCCCCAAGTGTAAAATCAGGGTGGTAATATATGCCCACATCACAGGGATATCAATATGTTTTATTCATTACTGATTTTAAAGCACAATCATTGCTTTGCATTAAAGACAAAGCATTCATAATTTTATTTATTATTATTTATGCAATACTGTTCAGTAGAATAGTAAATGTTTCTGTATGGCTGGGTGCAGGGTAGGCGAGTGTGCACACGTACACTGTGGGCTAAGCTCAGTATGCAGTTGTCAGGCAAAATTTGCTTTGGTCACTTCTAGCCTCCTTTATTATTTCAATGTCTTATATTTCATGCATTACAGATAAGTTATGTGCAAATTTACAACTTCTGAAGAATGCTGCAGCCTCAGTTTGCACTAAAATGATGCATCCCCAGTACTTTGATCCTTGCATTAGCCACCAATAACATTCTGTATTTTCTTTAATATAACACCTCTTACTTCCTGAGGCATTACGTAGTCCCAAGCTACCTTACCTTTATGGCTTTGCATCTTTTCTTCTAAAGGTTGAGTGGTAGTAGAGGTTTTTTGGGCAATTCTTAACTACTGAGGTAAAATTTTCTGGTCACAAGCTTTTAGTTGTTATAATGGTCAGATATGAAATTCCCTCTATTTACTGGTCTGTGATCCTTTTTAACAAATTGCCATAGTCCAAATCCTGAAGATTTTAACTCAGTCCTTCCTGTGGCAGAATGCTCACTGAAGACAACTGGCAATTCCTGGCTCCGTTGAAGTCCAATGGCAAAGCTCCTGTTGGTTTCTGTAGAACCAAGAATTCACCCAATTGGAATTCTTCTTCAGAGATGTCCGAGTAATACTGAATTAGAATGTCAGGATTTGACCCTAGATGTTTAGTGTAGTTATAAGGTGTACTTTTAAGTATTCCGTAAGTCTACTAAATTTGTATATTACAATTAGGGATGCTAGTGTGTTGCAGATTTCAATCTAAACTGAAGTGAAAATCTAATTTGTGTAACCTGGTTTATTCTTAAATGTCTGAGCTCTGTCAATTTTAATGTATTTGCAAAGTGCCTTGGGGAACCATTGCAAAGAAGTGACTCTAAAAGAGCGGTACAGTAGATTGACTGATAAGATTATTGCAAGTGTTAATCATATGCTTCAGAATTGTGGGATTTCCCCCTGCATAGCTATTTTTGATATCAAGACTTGTTTTCAGGTTATTTTGGACAACACAGAATAAAGACTATGAGTGTAACACATTGGGTTAATTACTAGGCTTAACGTATAAAAAAAGGAAATCTAAACAGAAAAGAATAAACGACAAAGATATTTTAAAAATATGTTGTTATTATTCCTGTTAGTTACATGGTATGTTTTCAAGATTTTCTTAATTTTGTAAACACTGAAGAAAAGATTGGTTAAAACTTATTTCTGTGCTGAAATGTCCCCAACCATCTGGGCTCTGAGGACAACCTGCGCATAAATTGATCTCCACTTATTTTTTTCCTTTATCATTCACCTTTAATGTAAACTATACATTTATGGAGGCTGTGACAAGTTTATTGAAAGTTTTGTACATTTCTGTTTTGAAATGTGTTAATTTTTGTCCTAGCTAAAATTTGGACATTTCTTAAAACTTTTATTAATATGGTCAGGACAGACTGGTGTCACATTGGTGATACATGTAGACCTGGTGCAATACAAAGGAGGAAAAAGAGATCTCATTTGTGAAGAAGGGGCCCATTGCTCCATTGTTTGCTGGTGCAAAATGGTAGAGCTCTGTTAACTTCACTGGAGCTATGTCACTATCCACTAGCAGAGAATATGGTTCAGTTATAACAGCATATTTTTCACTGGTTTTTTTCTTCATTGCTGTTAAGAATTTCTTCTGACAATTCTGTCCTTTTTCTAATATGTTCAGCTGTATTTCTCTTTCCACAAATCCCTGAGGTCCTTGTGAATTTTACCACTGCTTCAAGCTTTGCTTGATATCATAGTTCTTTCACAATCACGAACTGTATGGTCCCTTCCAGTCCTAAAATCTATGAATAACATTGTACAAGTTGTACTACACAACCTCAAAACCTTGTATAGAATCTTGTGATTCAGTGAACCCCTGCTGATATATCTTCTAGTGTTTATTTCAGAAAATACAAATATAGGTAAGCCCAAGAAAGTGTTAATTGGTTTTTATCTCTCATTATTTGCTCTGATATTACAATATTTTCATTGTTGTTTCAGTTAGGATTAATTTTACCCGTATGTATGGTACAAGGTTGATCTGATGCAGAACAGCTACACTTTTTGCACAAGTAGATAGATTTTGATCATTAGCTCTTATTCACTAGTTTGCATCTCAGCTGGATGTGCTGTTCTATTTTGAATTGATTGGCATTTCAATTATACATATTTATACTTTATAAAATGGTGACTGTGGTTAGGCAGTACTCACATGCAATTACAATGTAAATACATTGCAGTTATGGTTTTGATAATATGAATAAGTTATCAAAACCATAACTGTAATGTATTTACACTATAATTGTATGTAAGTACTGCTTAACCATAGTCACCATTTTAGAAGTATAAATATATATAATTGAAATGCCAGACATGTGTGTGCGCGTTGTATTTGTCATGTACTGAATTAATTCAATGAGTTTTATTATAAGCAATACAGTAAGAGCAACTGACTAAAAAGAAAGATATTTGAAAAGAAACAGATAAGGAAATCTCTCTCTCTCTCTCTCACACACACACGAGAGAGAGAGAGAGGCTATGAAATATGTCTTAAAGGTAATTTTCTGTACCGAGAATATCTTCTCATTCTAGTCATGTTACTTTGTGGTATACATGCCTCCAAGGCTAGCATTGTAGTAAATGTTATTTATAACTTACTTTGACAAACAGTAGATTCATGTTCCAAATCCACAGAAATGACCTAAAGTATGACTGATGCTCTTCCTTGTCACATCTGTGAAAAGTATCTAGTTTGGACTAACAATGCATACAAGAAATCAATCACACTGTTCTATGTAATTTCAGAATCTCTATGTAGACACCACTAAGAAACTGTGCTCAGATCAAGCTACTGCTGTTTCAGAATTACAAGTTAGTTGTCAAAATGATTTAGTGCACTGGGAGAATGAGGACGACGTGACTGGGACAGCTACATTACTGGACAGCAGTGTGATTAAAGGTCAGTTAAGCTTTATGATTTGAGTTATTAATATAACAGCGTTTAACCTCAGCCCTGATAAATGCTTGATGTGCAGATGTATTTTGCATGATTCAATTGGAACTTGTGGATCAGTCAAAGGAGACAAAATGTGAACCTCTCTTTTCTTCCTGAATAAATGCCATAAGGCAAACTCTCAGTAGCAGCATGGTATTAAACTCAGTTTGACACTGCAGCATGAATATTCAGTGGTTCTCAGGAGCAGGCCTGCGTGAAGAAGATGCTGCATTCATCTACAGTCAATCTTTTTAAAAGACTGATGATTCAGCCCTGTTGGCAAAGCTGAATGAGTGAGTAGTGTAAAAATATTAAGATGTTTCAAGTCATATTTTTATATTTCTAAGAAAAAATTGAACCGAGAAAATTAATTGGCTTTTATTTATTTGTACTTTTTATGTACTGTGTGTTAGGATTTCCCATATATTTTCAACATCTGTTTTAGTGTTCTATTTTTTTTCAGAGCATGTTAAAGCTGAAAAGCTATATGACATGGGGCCTGATCCCAAACCTATGAAATCAATGGAATAACTGTCATTGATTTCAATGGGGTTTGGATCAGGCTCATGGCCCATCTGATGGGTCCACCCATCATCTCTATCCAATAATGGGACTTCCACATGTAGTGTGTTTGCAGGACTGGGCCCTGAATGTCTATCTGCATGCAATCAGTTGAGTAGTTTCTGCTAGTAATATAAAAACGTCCCCATAAAGCTTTTCTTTATTGCCTTGTCATTGAATGTGTGTGACTGCCAACTGTGAAATTCAGGACATTACTTTGAAAACCTTGCATACTGCAACTCCTCCAAAAATAACATAAACAGCTTTCATAACGAGGGATTCATTATTAATGCTCTGAAAGTAATTTGTTTGAGGGGAGAATTTCAAAGGCACAAGAGGCACCTAACTCCTGTTGAAGGATAATAGGAGTTTGTCACCTAACTCCCATTTGTGCTGTCACAATCCAAGGCAGCTGCACCTCTATTCCCTCTTGAAGGTCCAGCAACGGCACCTGCCCTAGGCTTCCAGCTCCTCAGCCATCACCTCTCTTGGGTGGAGACCCCCGTCTCTCTCCTTCCTGACTGGGGTATTTCCAGGCTGCACAGTTCCCTGCCTACACTGCGAATTCCTCAGCAAAGTCAGACTGCCTAAGCAGGCCTGCTTTGTCTTTTCAGAGGTATAAACAGTGTGACATTGCACTCTATATAATTTTATGAAAATATGCTAATGAGTTTAAATATAATGTAACCGGAATATGCTTCATGCAAAAGCTCTCTTGTAAGGTATCAGTACAAAGCTTATAATCTACTGAGTGTGATCATCCTATTTGTATAAATGTACCACTCTTGTATCTGAAACTAGAAATATGAAATATAACTCTGAGGGCCTATTGTAATTATGCAAAGTGTGGGCCATTAATGGTGGTTTGGAATCTTGATGACTCCCATTAACCAGGACAATTGTCTGCAGATGGCTCTGTTTTACCTGTAAGTCTCCCTGTATACGTGTGTGCTGGCAAGTGGGTAATGAAGTCTTACAGTGACATGTGATCATGTCACCTGAACTGGAATCCATCTTTAACCTGGTGCTTTTCCATTAGAAGGAGGGGGTGGGAAACCAGAGAGGGACAAAGGATTCCCACCTTATCCAAAAGATACATAAATGGGTGGAACAGAACAAAGGAGGCAGCCATCATGAGGAATCCCCTAGCGACCACCTGAGCTGGAACAAGGGCTGTACCAGGGGAAAGGATTGTGCCCAGACTAGGAAGGAGTCCAGTCTGTGAAAGAGACTTATTGAAACATCTCTCAGGGTGAGATTTTATGTATACTCAGTTGTATTACTGTAATAGGCTTAGACTTGCGTGTTCTATTTTATTTCATTTGGTAATTCACTTTGTTCTGTCTGTTTTTTGCACAACCTCTGTGAGAGCAAGAGAGAGAGCCTCACGGATGAATGGCAGCTAGAGGTAGACAGGCTTTCTGGACACTGCCAACAGTTAGCGGGACACAGGGTCAGGGATACATTGTGCTCCTAGTTTGAAGCCAGAGTGTCAATGTGGAAAATGCATATAACTTTGTGTAGGGATTGCATGATGCTTTGGGTAATTATTTTATGTTAATCTGTTTAGCAATTATGTTGTATCAAAATCTTGCTGATTCTTTCTTATCTAGCCACCCAGCTAAATCTTTCATTTATCATAGAATGTCAGGGTTGCAAGGGACCTCAAGAGGTCATCTAGTCCACCCCCCTGCTTAAAGTAGGACCAATCCCCAGACAGATTTTTGCCCTATATCCCTAAACGGTCCCCTCAAGGATTGAACTCACAACACTGGCTTTAGCAGGCCAATGCTCAAACCACTGAGCTATCCCTCCCCTTGATGAGAGTGCCTCATCTTGCATCTTCATGACTGCAACATCCTTCTCTCTAGCCTTGACAAATGTAGTCACACCCGGCTCAGATCCATTCAGAATGTTGCTGCAAAGATAATTTTCCTCGCTGGTCACACTGACCCTGCTCCCTCTCTCTTTGATTTCCCTCCACTGGCTCCCCCTTCTCTATGGCATCAAACATAAGCTGCTTGTATTATGCTCAAGGCCCTTCAACTTCAGACCCACCCTACCTATCATCTCTCATTTGCTATCAAGTTGCTGATTCCCACCTCTGATAGGCCCATGATGCTAGCCTCCTCTGCCCACTTGTTAAACAAGCACCTTTGTGCTTTCTCCCATTCTGCCCCTAATGCTTGGGAGGAGCTCCTGTAAACGTCTGCAAAACTACCTCATTATCCTCATTATCCACCTTCAAAAATTGCCTTTGCCATGATGCCTACAAACCTCTGAACAACGGTTAGGCTGCTGGTGTGCTGAGATCTCTGCCTATCATGCTGATTAATATCAACTGATTGTACTTCCCATCAGTCTGTATCTATGTGTTGCGTCTTGTCTTGTACTTAGGTTGTAAACTCCTTGGTGCCATCTTTTTGTTCTGTATTTGTACAGCGCCTAGCATAATGGGGCTCAAGAGTAATGCAAATACTAATGATGCTCTGTGTAGGGATTTCATGATGGACTGGGCAAGGATTTTATGAATTGTTTTAGCAAAGAATAACGCAAGTCATACATTTAAAAAAAACACCTTTATTGAACACACCATGATGCAAAATGAAAACCAGGGCAAAATTTGCAAAAATTCGTTATAGCGCCTCGTAATAGGCATTGTCAATCCAAACTCTCACAAAGCTATGGTTACTGTTCCCAACATTTTTCGAACCCTGCCAGTGTGCCTTTCCTATTTTGAGTCACCGGATTGGGTCCCAGGAGTGGCCCCTCTCTTTCATTTGTTTAATGAAACAAATGTGTCTTGTATAACTTGGCATTCTGGTGAGTGCTGTTAAGATAGGACTGGATCTCCTCTCCCCAGTAGGCAAGGAAGTCCAGGACCACAGCATGGGACCATGTGAAAGTGTGGGGCATGGCTCCTATGACTGGTGTGTGGTATACGACATCAGGTGACACAAGCTGGAATCGCAAAGAGATACAGCTGGCTGCATGACAGCATTTAAAGGAGGAGGTGACACCTTATCAAGGTGTCCCTGAAGCTGTAGAAAGCACACAGGTAAACAGACAGGCTGATCCAGCTGTACAAGCAGAGCAGTGTGGGAGAGCAATGGGAGGACTGACAGAGGTGGACCACTGTGAATTGAAATGGGAATGTGACCACACTTATTGTGTTGTGGGAAAACTCATCCTGCATGCCAGCAAACTCCAAGGTGGGTTCATTAAAGCAGGGAATGAGACATAAAAACGTTTGTCTCTGAACACAAGGCAATTTTCCCTCAAAACACTCAAATGAACTCAAAACACCATGCAAATATAGTAAACTCCTAAGTAACTGAAGCAAAACATACATCTGATGTGGAGCATACCACCCTCTAAGTGAGACGTAGCTGAAGGGCACATCCCTAGGAAATACCAAGGTAAGAATGCAGTTTCCCAGCTAGAGTGATTCATCACTTCAGACAATGAGACACAACCATATGTGAATGGAGTAAACTTGTATTATGGAGGCTACATGCCACATATGGCAGATAATCTGAATTTACTGTGACAACATTTTTTAAAAAGAACAGGAGTACTTGTGGCACCTTAGAGACTAACAAATTTATTAGAGCATAAGCTTT